GACGTCGATGACGTCACGTGTGTCCTTGCTTCGTCGTATCTGCAGTTTAAATATGAACGAAGGGGACAATATTGAGAAGCACCTGTATGAACTTGAAGAGCTGTTCGATAAGCTGGCGTGCGCCGGCCAGGAGATGGAGATGCCGCTTAAAATCGCCATGATCTACCGTAGCCTACCGGAGTCCTATGGCAGTTTGGTCACCGCCCTCGAAGGGAGACCGGACGCCGACCAGACTATGGAGCTGGTTAAGCAAAAACTGATCGACGAGCATCAGCGTCGATGCGAACGGTCGGGGAGCTCCGGTGAATCGGCGATGAAGATGCACAGCAAGAAGAAAAATGAGAAAGTGTGCTATCGGTGCGGTAAATCGGGACATTTTCAGCGAAATTGTCCACAGCAGCCAAAAGGTGGCCCGGGCGGTAGTGATGTGAAGCGTGATTCGAAAGCTAAGTCCGGTGGTGCGAGGGCCAAACAGGCTGAAGAAAGTGAGTTGGCGATATGTTTTGTGGCTGGAACCAAGTGCAGTGGACCTTGGATCGTTGATAGTGGGTGTTCCAGCCACATGACGAACGATCGGTCATTCTTCAATGAACTGGACACGAGTGTGCGAGTGAAAGTGTTCTTGGCCGACGGGTCAGAGACGATGTCCGGTGGACTCGGAAATGGCACAGTAAAGTGTGTGAATGGAGACAACCGTTTGGTGGATATTCCGTTCAAAGACGTCCTATACGTGCCCTCATTGGACAGTGGACTCATATCGGTGAGAAAACTCGTGAAAAATGGACTGAAAGTGGAATTCTGTGGTTCGCGGTGTGAAATTTTGTCCGCGGGAGGCAAAGTGGTGGCTGTGGCGGAACCCCGCGGCAGTCTGTTCGCGTTGAAGATTGCAGAGGAAGCTCGGCTGGGCAAGGAGGCTCGGCACCTGCAGAATTGCCAGCATACCTGGCACCGTCGGCTAGGTCATCGGGATCCAGCGGCGTTGGATGAGATCCGGAGGAAGGAGCTATCTGAAAACTTCAAGGTTCAGGATTGCGGGATCCGGCAGGTTTGTCAACCTTGCCTAGAAGGTAAATCATGTAGAATTCCATTTCCCAAAATCGCGGTTAATCGTACCCAACGTGTTCTCGACGTCATTCACACTGATGTGTGTGGACCGATGGTAAACGTCACGCCCGGGGGTGCCCGCTATTTAATGACAATCATTGATGATTTTAGTAGATACACTGTCGTGTGTCTGCTGAAGCGGAAGAGCGATGTAACTGATTGCATTAAGAGATTTGTCGCGCACGTCAAGAACATGTTTGGTCGGGCTCCATGTGTTATTAGATCAGATGGCGGGGGTGAGTATACCGGACACGAGCTGAAACGGTATTATGAGCTAGAGGGCATTCAAGCGCAGTACACCGCGGCCTACTCTCCCCAGCAGAATGGAGTGGCGGAGCGTAAGAATCGCTCCCTACAAGAAATGGCCACCTGTATGCTTCTTGATGCAGATCTTGACAAAAAGTACTGGGGGGAGGCGGTGGCCACTGCTGCCTACTTGCAGAATAGGTTGCCATCCCGCGCTGTCGATACGACGCCTTATGAAAGGTGGTTCGGCAGGAAACCATCACTGTCGCACCTGAAAGTGTTCGGTTGCCCTGCATTTGTTCACATCCCAGAGGTTAAACGGTCGAAGTTAGATAGCAAGGCTAAGAAGTTACTGTTCGTGGGTTACTGCAGTGACAGGAAGGCCTATAGATTCCTCGATACGGATACAAACGGAATCACCATTAGTCGCGATGCTCGTTTTGTGGAGCTTCAGGAGGAGAAACCAGTGTCGGATGGTTTGCCTCCAACCGAAGAGGATCTTGTAGAGGTGGAGGCCTCGAGCAGCCAATCGCAGAAGCAAGTTGAAGCACTAAATCCAGAATCGCCAAGGGATCCGGAAGATGATGATGAGGAATACTTCTCCGGGGATGATGAACAGGCACAGCCCGACCAAACGGAAGCGACCCAACAAAGGCAGAAGCGGAGCACCCGAGGTGTCTTGCCAAAGCGTTTGGAAGACTACGTCGTCTGCGTTGCGATGCAGGCGCAGGAGGAGCCAGCGACCTACGAAGAAGCAGTGTCGGGCGCCGAGCAAGGATTATGGAAGGAAGCTATGGCGGAAGAATACCGGTCGCTGATGGAAAACCAAACATGGAAGCTTGTCGAACTGCCAGCCGGTCGTACTCCAATCAGCTGCAAGTGGGTGTATCGGAAGAAGCATGACAACATCGGCAACATCTCTCGATTCAAGGCTCGACTAGTAGCGAGAGGATTCTCGCAAAAATTCGGAGTGGATTATGATGCCGTTTTCGCTCCGGTGGCAACTCAGACAACTTTGAGGACTCTCCTGGCGGTCGCCGGGCATCGGAAGATGTCCGTTCATCACCTCGACGTAAAGAGCGCTTATCTTCACGGAACGCTCAAGGAAGAGGTGTATATGATGCAGCCGAAGGGATTCGTCGTTCCTGGGAAGGAGAAATTCGTGTGTCGACTGCAGCGAAGCCTTTACGGCCTGAAACAGGCCGCACGTGTGTGGAATGAGACAATCAGTGCGATGTTGAGAGAGCTCGGTTTCACACAGTCGGTGTCAGATCCATGCCTTTACGTCAAGGAGTTGTCCAATGGCAACGTCATCTACCTATTGATATATGTTGACGACATGATCGTGGCGAGTACGGTTCAGGAGGAGATTAGGATTATCGAGGACCAGTTGAAGAGGAAGATCTCATTGACGTTGTTAGGTGAAGTTAATCAGTTTCTGGGCGTTCGAGTGACCCGGGACCAAGATGGATATTTCAGCCTGGACCAGAACGTATTCATCCGTGCACTCGCTCAACGATTCGGCCTACAAGACGCGAGAGGTTCGAGCATCCCGCTTGACCCAGGATACTACCGTAGCCGGGTAAACAGCCGGCCTCTAGATACGAACGAGCGCTACCACAGTCTGGTAGGCGCACTACTCTATATCGCAGTGAACAGCAGACCGGATATAGCCGCAAGCGTATCCATCTTGAGCAGGCAGATCAGCAGCCCAACGGAGACCGACTGGGTCGAACTGAAGCGCGTCGTCCGATACTTGCTGAAAACGGCTGACTGCAAGTTGAAGCTGTCTGCTACGAATGGTGAGCAGCTAGTTCTCGTCGGATACTGCGACGCGGATTGGAGTGGGGACCCTTCTGACCGGAAGTCAAATTCCGGCTACCTGTTCCAGCTGGGAAAAGCTACGATCTGCTGGGCGAGTCGGAAACAGACGAGCGTCTCTTTGTCCAGCATGGAAGCCGAATATATGGCCCTGTCTGAAGCGTGCCGTGAGTTAGTTTGGCTGAGGCAACTGTTGGAGGAGATGGGAGAACACCAAGCAGAGCCGACTACAGTTATGGAGGATAATCGTAGCTGCATCGTTTTCGTGGAGACCGACCGCAAGTCTAGAAGATCCAAGCACATCGATACCCGTGTACACTACACCAAGGACTTGGTCGATAAAGGTGTGGTCACTCTCCGATATTGTCCGACGGAGGAGATGGTCGCGGACATTCTAACCAAACCGCTAGGTGCAATGAAGCAGCAACGATTCGTCGAAGCAATGGGGTTGGTCAGTGCCCATGACCGGGTGGCATCGGCTCCGTGACGTCGAGGAGGAGTGTCAGCTATACAGTGGGGGCGACGTTTATCCCAACGCCGTCACTGCACCGCATCTCTGGTAACTGGAGAGGAACAGAGCGAAAGCAGAACATCATTCTCATACCAATCAGTCTGTAACCGAAACGAATGAATAAAGACGTGTCTAATCGTATACGGTCCCGCGTGTGAAAGTTTTTCTTGTTATATCACGAAACGCATTGTCCGGATTCCGCCCGGTATTCCGTTGCCTGTTGGGTGCCTGAAGTGTCCGCCTGTCCACTCTGTTGTCCATCAAATATTACATCAATGGATGTAATTTTGTTCGCAAAATCGATGTAGGGTAAATGTTGGCTTCGGCACCCATTGACTGTTTTCGGCAACCAAAATTTAAACGTTAATTTCACTATGTTTTCCCATCAACGCACTTCCCTGAATGTGTCCAAACGATTGTTTAGCCTTTCAGCTTCAATCTGATTATATTTGAACGATCGAGCAATCCAGTAATGCTACATTTTTCTTCAAATAAAGCTTACGCACTACAAAATCGGGTTGATTTCGAGTTGCCGATAATAGAACAGCTGGTTAACACGCAGTTCTAATGGGAAGGTTGCCGAAGAAAAAGAGGCTGCCGACAATAGTCACACTCACCTGAGAAGTTTGGAGCGTTGTAAAAACGCTTTCAAAACGTTTTGAAAAATTCTGTCGATTGGAATGGATAGAGAAGCAAGCAGCAGATGAATGTAAACAAACAGACACATCATATATGTGCGTGGCGCTGAAAAAATGCTAGTAGAAGTGCAGACGCTGCATAGATAGACGGGAATACGTAAATTCCCCTACATCGTACAACGTTATATCACAGACAAACAGACATAACACTCGCAAGTAGTTCATCGAACAAGCATTTAACGGTAAATTTAAAAGTATCGTAGTTGGTAGTACCGCCACCTGTGGCGCGCGTAGTCATTTCCCTTGCGTTTGACGTTTACACACTACCGCCATCTGTTCAGCGTACTACCCACCACAGTGTACTCAACAGATGGCGGTAATTTTTTAGCGACGATGTTTTACAGTGAGAAATATTCAATGTGTTATGTCTGTTTGTCTGTGGTTATATTACACAACCGATGGATTGACCTGGTTGCAGCAGTTTGGATGTAATATTCAACAACTTTTTTTTCTGTGTAGCTTGAATTACATTGATCGATATTACATTTTTTTTTTGCTGTACGTGTGTATATTATAACATTAGCACACAACCCTGAAGCTTTCGTAAATTGATTTCGAAACTGTACCGGTTCGCTTAATGACAGTTCCCGTAGCAGTGTCGAAGTTCCCATCAAAAAATTAGCAGTCAGCTGTCAAAAGAAAACGAAACACGGGATTTTCTCGCCCAAAATCATGGCATCGATTACAGTAATCAGCCGCATTGGATTGAAATTTCTGCAGGTATTTATATCAATATTTTTCCACTTTTAACTGTTTCGAAAATAAATCTTTATTGTTTTTTAGCTTCCACAATCGGGTTTCCTGGCTCCCTGTCTGCAAAATGTTATCATACAACAGCAGCAGCAGGTTCGTCATCGCCGCACCAAACATTTTGAACCCAAATGGAAACGATTGCGTAAAGAAAAATATGTGAAAGTGGATATCCCGAACCTAAACGAGCGGGCTGAGGATCTTAGCCAGGAACAGATAAAGACTAGAATGAAGGAACGTGGAATTCTGCCACCGCGACCGTGGCTAGAGCGTCCTTTCCATATCAGCTGTACCGGTGGTGTTTTTGAAGGATACGTTCCTCCGGAAGGCGATGGAAAATTGTCTGCCGTTTCGAAGGAAGGTGCTAAGCAAAAGTTTGAACAGCTGGAGAAAAAAACCAAATCTATGATGGCTATCCGGAAGATCCGTAGTTTTGATGACGATTTCGAGCCTCCGGAGTTTGCGGCTCAAGCGCAGGATATCTACGTTCAAGCGCATAGCTTGTTGATAGAGAAGAACAAGTACAAACTACGGGAAATCGTTACAGAGAGAGCATACCCAGAACTAATGCACAACGTTCATGATAAAACTATAAATTGGAAATTTATTAAGTCGCTGGAAGCTCCACGGGTCGTTCATGCCCGGTGCACCGATGTTATCAGCAAGGATAACATTTTTGGTCAGGTAACGGTACGGTTCCACACCCAACAGATCTTGGCAATTTATGATCGCTTTGGCCGGTTGATGCATGGCAGCGAAATCGTCGAGAAGGATTGTCTGGAGTATGTTGTGTTTGAAAAGCATCTTTCAAATGAATATGGAGTCTGGCGGTTGCACGAAAAGATTATCCCCGAATGGAGTCCACCGAAGGCTCCGGCATACATCACGTACCGGGTGGACGATGAACCACCGGCACCAAAGCAGGAGGAAACCAAGGAGGTAACGGCTACCAACGAGGAAGGTGATAAGGTGGTCACCGCCACCGCTTGATAAGGTTTGCGAAAGCGAGTCAGTGTAAGTCGATAAGTTGGATTTATATTGGTAATTGAGGAATGCGGTAGAATAATCGGAATCTGGCAAATTATTTCAATATCACTGTCCATTATGTTTCTAATCATGGTTATTTCTTTAAAAAACAGTAACAACTGTTGTTCTGCTAATTTAAAAAAAAATAAGAAATTAAATAGTGTAATTCAAACTCATGAAGGGTTGGACCGTTTTCCGCATGCAATACTTAGAAATTATTTTTTAATCGTTTTCATCTATATTTTCAAAATAATAACACTGAAAACATTAGTTCTTGTGCCATCTCCGGAGCACGCAACGAACTTATAAAAAAGGCTTATAAAATGTTGTACAAGTACCACAAATTCAACAACGCCTAACTATGGACAGCTCAATGGTATAGAATGAGCGAACACCAACATGATTATCTGCTAGGAAACACCAAAGAATATAAAGAGATAAAGCTAAAAATACAGTTTTAACTGTACTATCAGCAATAAACATCAAGCTGTCCCATATTGGACCCTGCCAACCCACGGCGCCTGCATGGTAATATGAGAGTTCATCGGTTGCGAAGTGAAGTACTTCTCAAACTGACGTGATACATCTGTGAATGTTTCAACTTTATCCTAACGTAAACTTCACCTTATCACTCATATGCCCTTCCACACCCGAAACCAATCCCCCACACAAAATCAAATAAAAAGTTTTCTGTATGGCAAACACGCCCGTATACACACCCATTTTTTATTGCTGGAAACCAGCAATATTTTGCTGGATTTTGCCGAGCTGGAAGTTCAGCAATCCATCCAGCAAAATACTGTTTGTTGGACGACCAGCAAGTAGGCCCAAAGCGAAGACAACAAATCAAGAAGACTGGCAACTTAGCCAGAATCCAAGCGACCGATACAATGTCGCTGCGCTTGAGTGAGTGGAAACAACGCATAGAAAAATGAGCAAACATACAAATCCTTCTTCTGAGGATGTAATCTTTGCTATCAAATCCATTCGAAGCATTTACCTTTTAACGGCAGATGACGCGATTGTACCTGTCTCATAGAGAAAATGGAAGAGTTGCCAGTCTCTTGATTATTTGTCATCGCCCAAAGTCAGCACTTTGCACTTTGCTGTAAAACCAGAAATGTATACTGATTATCCAGCATAGCGTAATGCCAATCATTTTGCTGGAAGAACAGTAATTCTCAATGGTTTAAATTGTTAATAACATTATTGATAGATTTTTTTTGTTATTGTTATTGTTATTGCTCAGTTCACACCCTGGCTGGCTGCTGCCTACCGATCTGCACTTAAGCCAGGCATGAACCTACGGAAATTTAGTCGTGGCCCTAGACCGTATAGCATAACGACTTTCCTTTCACTAGCAGGCTTTTTGGTCCCACTAGCGTCCGATTAGGGATAGTAAGAGATTAAAAGAATAAAGAAGAGAGATAGAGGATGTTGTTGTTTTGCTGAAACGAAATAAAAAAAGACGCTGGCTTGTTGTGCAACATCAGGTTTGTTCGCTTTCATTCTGTTCCAAGGGGCAACGTCCATCGTCATCGTACTCAAATACCTGGGAACCTCCAGAGGTGCACAGTGCCAACGTGAAAGATTTCCATTCTGGGCAGCTGCTTGACCTGGGCCCAGGTCAAATTCCTATCGGCTTGCTTAATTTCCTTGTTGATGCTCCGCCGCCTTAGTATTTGCCTTTGCTGCGATGTTCTGGCGGATTTAATTCATAATCAAACGCTTGCCTGCAGACTTCGTTTCTATTACTATCGGCTTCTGATTACATTTACATCTGAGATCCATTTGTGAGGCCACCAGCCACAAGTTATATACCGCAGGCAGCGGTTGATGAGAACTGCAGCTTTTGAGTGTTCTCCACTGGTGCTGCACAGATTCCACGTTTTAATCGAAGTTTCGAATTTTGGTACGTTGATCAACACATACATGAGAGTTGTTGTTATTCACAACGTCGTGATTTTGCGCTGCTAAATTTTGTCATTTTTTTATCACACGGGCTATCGTTTTTCGTGTTTTTCCGTTCGGTATACTTGTAATATTGTACTGGTTGTTAGTGGAAAGTGTAGTTCGTTACGATAATCGGCCAATTAGAGCATATTTTGTGTTGTGAAAACAGTGAAAACATTATCCAATCGGACATATTGTACATGACTAGCATTGGGCGATCTCGAGAATCCAATTCCTCTTTGCGTATTAGAGCATCTCCACCGCTGTTTCTAAATCACTTTTGGAAACTGAGTCAGCATGACTTCCGCCTGTGACCAATGCGCTAAGCCAGTTAAAGGCGATGAAGAATCCGTCTCCTGCATGGCTTTTTGCGACAGGATGATTCACCTAAAGTGTGGCGGCACAAAGCTGAATAAGGCTTTTCTGAACATTGTCCATACTAGCCCGAACCTGTTTTGGATGTGTAACGAGTGCGCGAAGCTGATGAAATGTGCTCGATTCAAAACTGCCGTCTCGTCGTTTGGCAGTGTGATTAATTCTATCACCGAGAGACAGGAAATCGCACACGCGGAGCTTAGGAAGGAAATGGCTAAGCAAGAACAGCAGATCGCTCAGCTATCAAAACGAATCGCATTGACAACTCCGACAAACTCTGATTTCATGCGTCAACCGCCATTAAAACGGCGCCGCGATGAAGGCTCGCTCACAGGCAAACCACTTGTTGGTGGTTCTAAAGCAGTAACAGGTGACAATGCCTTTACCGAGGTCCTTACTGTCCCTGAACCCACCGAGCTGTTTTGGCTGTACCTTTCTCGTATTCATCCTAGCGTGAAATCGGAATCAATCGAGAAGCTGGTGAAAGGTTGTGTACAATGCGAAGATCCGATTAAGGTTGTGCCGCTAGTCAAAAAAGGATCCGACATCAGCCGTATGAGCTTCATCTCGTACAAAGTCGGAATGGATCCCAAACTACGCGAAGCTGCTCTTAGATCGGATACATGGCCGAAAGGAATTTTGTTCCGTGAATTTGAAGACGGTTCAAAAAACATGTGGTTGCCTCGTTTGAACACGCCTACCATCACGATCTCTCCTATTACGGGACCTTCCGAGTTCTCAACTCCCATTTCCGGACTAGACCCAGTCTGCTGATTCAGAATTGGATTTTGCGTTGTGAATCGGAGCGCTGTAGACCAGAACGCAATGCCTGTCGCATTATGGGAGACCTCGAACCACTCGATCCAGTCGCGCTAGCTGTTTCCCGCCATCAAAGTCGTTCTATTTCCTGCCATCAGAGTCGTTCTGGCCCTGCGGTCGAGTTCGGTGGTGGGGTCTCCCAAGCATCGTCTTCAGGCAAGTATGCATACATTAGTTACAGTCATTTGCCTGATCAGGTTCCGTGTTCCAGTGCAACGCTTCAAGCACCTGCCGGCTGTTTCCAGTTGAGAAGCACTTCTGATACTGCCCATTCACAACATCCGCTTTACTGTTCGAACAATCCTAATTCATCTCCGGGACGCACAATAGACCGCTCTTTGGAAGCTCCTGGTTACTCCAGCCCAGTCGTGCCGATTCCCGCCAGCGTTCTGCATAGTCGTCCTGGACCTGTGGCTGGATATGAATCAGGAGTCTTCCACCTTGCCTCTACAAGCAAGTACAATCAATATATTAACTATTCACTGCCTGATGCCGATCAAATTTTCAGCAATTCTAACTATGTTAGTCATTGTGATGATGCCTCTGTAACTCCTAATCCTGGAAACCCGGAACGCGCCGTAGAAAGCCCCATGGAAGCCCCCAATCCCTCCGTCTCAGTCCTGCCATCAGCAGCCTTCGTTCATCATAGTCGTTCCGGACCTGCTGTCGGATGCGGAGAGGGGGTCTTCCAACCCACTCACTATGGCGAGTATCCAATGAGACTTGATGATGGTCAGTTATTGCCTGATGTATCTGTGATTTCCAGGGAGAGCAGTCGTTCGATTCCTTGCCGCAAGCAGGACGTCGTGATATTCTACCAAAACGCCGGTGGAATGAATTCTGATGTTGAAGAGTACCGCCTAGCTGTATCGGATCGTTGCTACGATATTATTGTCCTGTGCGAAACGTGGCTCGATTATCGAACGCTTTCCAGTCAAGTCTTCGGTCCTGACTACGAGGTCTTTCGTTGCGATCGGAATCCTAACAACAGCCGTAAATCTACTGGTGGAGGTGTCCTTGTAGCTATCCGTAGCGGGTTGGAGGCAAAGGCCATCGAGAACGATTCATGGAACAATGTGGAGCAGGTTTGGACAGCCATCAATCTGGGTGATCGCACACTATTTTTATGCGCTCTGTACATTCCACCTGATCGAGTCCGCGACAATGAACTCATCGATACTCACTGTCGGTCAGTTTTCACAGTTTCCACTCCAGTTGATGAGATATTCATTTTTGGTGACTTCAATCTGCCAGGCGTTTCGTGGAGTCCATCTCATAGCGGATTCCTGTATCCAGATCCTGATAGCTCTACATTTCACGCAGGAGCTATTAGCCTTCTCGACAACTACAGCGCAGCGACGCTTTCTCAAATTAACCATGTAGTTAATGAAAATGGTCGTAGTTTGGACCTCTGCTTCGTGAGCACACAGGACAGGGCTCCATCAATTTCCTCGGCTCCCTGTGCACTAACTAAGCTAGTTCCACATCACCCTCCTCTAATTGTCACTGTTGAGGACAAACTCGTGCGTGATTTTGGCGACTATACTGCTACGGTTTCTTATGACTTCCGTAAAGCTGACCACCGTAGCATCATAGATGTATTGTCTAGCATGGTATGGGAGAACATCCTTGATCCAGATGACGTTGAGGCTGCAGCGCAAACCTTTTCACATGTCTTGGCATATGTCATTGACAGACACGCCCCGAAAAGAACTCACCACAAAGTGTCTCACCCTCCCTGGCAGACGAGAGAGCTACGTAGGTTGAAGTCAATCAAGAGAGCAGCATTGAGAAGATTTACGAAGTATCGCACGCTTCCTCTGAAACTACATTATGTGAGGCTGAATCACATGTACCAGCGAGTCAGTCGTGAATGCTTTTCAAATTTCCAAC